AAAAAAAATACCACAGGACATTTCACTCATCTTTCATTTCAGGTTTGCATAAGGCCCCTTCCTGATCATTCTTTTGATTATAGCTGTGCCTCTTATAGAGAAATGTGTGCATCACAGTCATCATTTCACAAATCTTATTTGTACATCTGGATCTGTGTCCTTCAGTAAACTCCACAGAGGAGTTTGATCTTGCTTACCTTTGCCTCAACAAGTAGCTTTTTGAAGGAGTCCTTTAAACCACCACCCGTCTCCTTCTTGTGTGCATGTGTTTTATGTTCTCATTGCTCTCAGGCTCCAGAGGTGAACCTCTGCCTGCATTTGTCAGAACTATGTTCCAAAGTACTATGGTGCCTGAGAGCAATGAAAGCATAAAGGACTGGTTTAAAGGACTCCTACAAATTGCCTAATAGCAATCACCTGCTGAGGCGTGGGTGTGTCCTGAGGTGGCCTATCAGCTGGTCATGGGACCTATTTAAATGGAAGCTGCAGAGCAATGGAGGAGGCCCCAGACATGATGAGAAGGAATGTGTAGAAGCTAGGCATCTGAAAGGTTGTGTAATGTGGCGACAGCAGGAGACAATGCATGTGATCATAAGAACAGAGATGCACCTCTGCCTAATTTTGGAGTAGTGTATCCCCACTGTTGTTTACTGGGTGCAGCCGTGTTGGGGGGAGGGCTATTAGCCAGGACAGCTCCCCGGATGATGGTTTTGGCCCATATCGGTCTGCTTACAGGGTGATGGGAGGCTTCTCCTCGTCCACCCGGGACAAGGCTGGCATGGTCCCGCTCTGAAGAGAAAGTGCTTCCCGGTTGTCAAACATTATCTAGTCTTGTAGATGGTCTGACAGCTGAGAATAATGATGCCAACAGTGTGCTCTCATCTTATGCATGTGATTTTGTCATTATAGTTTTATTTGTAAGAAAATGATAAACTTCACATTGTGTACCTAATCAAAGAACATTTCATGAGTCCGTTTAATTTCATTGCCCAATGAGAGCTGGAATAAACATATCCTGACAGTTACAGTTGAGCACACTTCAGTTAAATCTTGAAACAGTAGAGTAAGATAGAAATAGATTCATCTTTGCATAGACAAAAGCAGATACCGCCTGTGTTCAGTCCATCATATTAAAAAGGAAACTATAACATGCTCCATGTGCTCTTGCATCCACGTCTAAATTGTTGTCAAGCAGCCCGGTAACAGAAACGTCTCTAATGTAGACATGTACAGTGTAGTGTACGCATTAAATGACCATACAGGAAACACTAACATCTATGTAAAACTAATTTGAATAAAAAATGAACAGCCACTTGATAGATTGTAAAAGAAAGTGGGGAGCAATTCCACAGGTCCCGAAGCCTTTTGTTCTGTTTGTTCTGACTGTATTTAAAACAGGGCTGTGCTGTCCATCTTCAAAAGCTGGTATCTCTTGGTGGCGGTATTGGCTATATTAATTATTGTTAATTATAATTATTATATTCTTAGAGTTTTCTCTTTCTCTTACATTTAAAATAACCACACTACGGATGGATACTGTCAGAAGGAACATTTATGTGGATGACTGTTTAAAATCTGTTGCTTCACAAGAAGAGGCAGTGCGCATGCTGCAGAGGCTGATATCTGCACTAAAGGAGGATTCAAGCTTTCAAAATGGATCAGCAACAGTCACACAGTGCACATCTCAATCCCAAAGGAAAGGAGAGCAAAGGAAATCAAGGGTCTGGATTTGGATCAATTTCCAATTGAGAGAGCACTGTGTTAGTTCAAGTTCAGAAACTCTCCGCAGGATCGTCCACCAAATAGAAGGGGCATTTTGTCTGTGATCGGCTCACTGCATGATCCTTTGGGAATCTTGTCTCCCTTCAGTATGCCAGCTAAACTGTTGCTACAAGAACTTTTGTTGACAAAATTTGAAGTCGGACGAAGTTATTCCCCACTCTCCCTCTAAGGGGGGGCGTGATTGGGTGGAGGAGCTCCAGCTGATTTAGTGGAATGCTTTCTTAAACCAAGTTCCACTGGAAGACCAGATAAAGCACAACTTCATCATTTTTCTGATGCAAGTCCAGATGGTTATGGGATAGTGTCATATTTAAAACTGGAAATGAACAACATCTCAAATGTTGCCTTTAACCTGGGAAAAGCTCGAGTTGCTTCTTTTAAGCAAACTACAATTCCCAGACTGGAATTGACAGCTTCAGTTCTTGCAGTTTGAGTGAACTAACTTCTGCAAAAAGAGTTGCAGGAAAAGTTTGAAAAATCTGGTTTTTGAACTGATGGTACAACAGTACTGAAATACATCTCCAAGGAAGCCAGAAGATTTAATACCTTAGCTGCAAATAGAATTTCTGTTGTTCAAGAAGCAACAGATGTGAATAAGTGGAGATATGTTTCCTCTAAGGAGAACCATGCAGACGACACATCCAGAGGCATGAAAGCTGAGGATTTCCTCAAATGTAGGAGATG